CGGAGCATCTCTTTCTGATCCTTGTAGGAGCTAAGGCCTTCTGTCAGAGGCTAGGACTTCCCGTTCTCTGAACCCTGCTCTGTCGCACTGTGAACCAAACCAACCAAGCCAGCAGCTGGCAGACCCTTTCAGCCCTTGCCACCCCAGCAGTGGCACTGTCAACATTGATTCTCCTCCCAAGCCTTGAACCGAGTCACACCGCAGAGCCTGCAAGCTCCTCCTTCCATTCCCTCCTTCCTGCCATTCGACCCAGAGTAGCGTGTGTGGTTCTCCTTGGAGATTCAGGGTGCTGGTGGGTCTTAGTTTTACGGTGGAGGCTTGTCTTCCCCCGATTGCACTTTTCCTCATTTCCCCCCTCAATCCCACTTGGTTCAGAGAACCTCAGAAACCTGCTCTGTGGCAGCGGAGCTGGAGTCCTCAGCAAGACCCTCACATACCCCCTGGACCTCTTCAAGAAACGGCTGCAGGTCGGAGGGTTTGAGCGGGCCCGAGTCACCTTTGGCCAGGTGAGCTGTCCCCCTGCACAGAGCTCCGAGCCTTGCCCCTCACCTGCCCATTGGTCAGCATTAACCCCCACAGCCCCTCCCTGGGGATCCCCAAACACATAGGAAAGCCACACACAGCCCTGTGCATGTTGGACACTGTGGGATGATCCAGGCGAAGGAGGGTTCAGTGTTTGCTCGTAAAAAGTGTTCAGTTCAGGGCGCCTGGGGGGCTCAGTAGGTTAAGCGTCTGACTTTTTTTTTTTTTTTTTTTTTTAAGATTTTATTTATTTATTTGAGAGAGAGAGAACACATGAGAGGGGATAGGGTCAGAGGACGAAGCAGACTCCCCGCCGAGCAGGGAGCCCGATGCGGGACTCGATCCCGGGACTCTGGGATCATGACCTGAGCCGAAGGCAGTCGCTTAACCAACTGAGCCACCCAGGCGCCCCAAGCGTCTGACTCTTAATCTGAGCTCAGGTCTTGATCTCGGGGTCGTGAGTTCCAGCCCTGTGTTGGGTCCATGCTGGGTGTGGAGCCTACTTCAAGTAAAAAAAAAGAAAAGTGTTCAGTTCAGTTTGGGACCAAGAATATAATCATATAAGAAAGGTCCCCAGGGCGCCTGGTTGGTGCAGCTGGTTGAGCGTCTGACTCCTGGTTTTGGCTCAGGTCGTGAAATCAGGGTCATGGGTCAAGCCCTGCATTGGGCTTTGTGCTTAGTGTAGAGCTTGCTGGTCCCTCTCCCTGTGCTCCTCCCCTGCTCTCGAGCTTCAGTGCATGCTCTCTCTTTCTCAAATAAATCTTAAGAAGAGATAGGTCCCCAAAATACTAAAGAACCCCGAGGAGACTCCCACTGGTGCATGAGGTTGTTTGCTTTATTCTGTAGGGGTTCCTGGAGAGGGGTGAATGAAATCTGATCAACTAAATTATATATATATATTTTTTTAAATTTTTTAAAGATTTTATTTATTTATTTGCTAGAGAGAGTGAGAGTACAAGCAGGGGGAGCAGCAGGCAGAGGGAGAAGCAGGTTCCCCGCTGAGCAGGATCCTGGGATCATGACCTGAGCCGAAGGCAGCCGCTTAACCAACTGAGCCACCCAGGCGTCCCTAAATTATATTTTAAAGGCACTAGAAGCTTTGTCATTCACAGAAGCCCCCATTGTAGGTGATTTTGTAATGTTAATAGTCATTCCTAGTCGGCTTGGATTTTGCAAACTGGATTTTCACCTGCTGCTTTGGGGGCACCATCCAGTGGTGGGCTAGGGGTGGAGCAAGGGGGGAGTAACTCCAGCACTTTCCCCTCCGGAATCTGGGAACCTGGGACGTCTGCGCAGGAAGAAACATGCCCGACAGATGTCAGAAAAGAGTGGCCTGCAACCGGAGACAGAAGGGAGGGAGCACTCCTTACTTGGGGGAGGGGAAAATATTGAATTAGTTGTAATCCATCTTTGTAGGAAATTCAGAGAAGTCCTGGAGACAAAAAGATAAAACTGACATGTAACTCCCAACACCACCCCCCGCAGAGGTAATCAGGCAGAACCATTGGCTGTAGTTTTGTTTCTTTGCATAAACATACGTGTACATTTTAACACAGGGTGGAATACAAGATTTTATAACCTCCTTTTTCCACTTACGAACTTGTCCTGAAGGAATGGTTTGAATTTGCACAGGGAGAGTTGCTGAGAGCCCAGGACAGAGGAGAGAGCCTTGTTCCTAACAGATTTTGTGGCCAGTTTGGTGGGAGGACCAGTGGAGGGTGAGGGCAGATCAGGGAGGGAAGAACACCAGGCTGTGGAACTTGGATTTGATCTTTTTTTTTAAAGTAAGCTCTACGCCCAGTGTGGGACTTGAACTCACGACCCCGAGATCAAGAGTCCCACACTCCACCAGCCGAGCCATTGATTCTTTATTCTTTATAATGATTGATTATAATGATTCTTTGATCTTGATTCTTTATAATGTCATTGTCATCACAACGGGAAATTAGTGGAGATGTGGAGAGAGCGGGTCTTGGGGACGCCAGTCTGGCGGCGGTGTGTGGCAAACTGCAAAGGCCGGACTAGAGGCCCAAGCGAACAAGGGCCAGATTCAGATCCGCTGCCCCAGGCGGGCCAGGCGGGCTGGGGAAAGGGCCCTTAAGGGGCCCAGTTGGTAGGCACTCTGTCCAGTGCTGATTTCCAGGCACTGCCTCTATTCAGTCTGAATTATTAGTCCACTTGGAAGAGAAAGAAAAGGTTAACTGCTCTGTCCTTTTTGCCTTCGTTGCTTGTCCAGCCAGTGTTGACTGGGAGCTGTGATGTGCCAGGTGCTGGGCTGACGGAAGAAAGAGCCAGCATCCGTGTGTTAATCTCTTCCTCTGCCCAGGTTCGCAGCTACAGGGGCCTCCTCGATTGTGCCCAGCAGGTGATGCAGGAGGAAGGCCCCACGGGCCTCTTCAAGGGCCTGTCCCCGAGCCTGCTGAAAGCTGCTCTCTCCACTGGCTTCGTGTTCTTCTGGTACGAGCTCTTCTGTAGCTTCTTCCACCCCATGAAGAAGGCGGACAGCTAGCCCCCAGGGCAGGAAGGGCGGCCTCCGGAAGGAAGGCAGACTCCCGTACCATCTCCTGCTGCACCGAGGGCTGCTGCCCGCTCCCTGCCTGCCAGGCGGCTCTGGCATCGCTAGAAGGGTAGGGGCCTTCTCGGGGGGATGCAGGGCTTGGCCTGTGGGGACGCAGCCGTGTCGGTCAGAAGGAGCTTGAGGTGCTTTCTCTGTGTGGTCCTGGCTCGCAGGAAAGGCGGCAGCGACCCCCCTGCGCTTCTCAGCACCTTCTGCCCAGAACTGTCCGGGCTCTGGGGGTGGGGGGCCACGGCTGGAGCCCGAGGGCTGGGATTGGGCCCTTCGCGGGGGCCTGGTCCTCTCGTGTGCCCTCTTACTCCCACCAGCTAATTTAACGCACACCGAAGCTACAAGCACATTCCTTATTTCGCTCCATCTTCCCTTCCACATCACGTCCCTCCTCACAGGGTATGAGGGAGGGAACCCTTGGCTTCCTCAGATTCCATTTTTCTCAATACTTGCATCCCTCATGCAGCTTTGCTTCTGGTTCTGAGGGGAAGAATTAGTCACTTTATAGCCCCCGCCCCCCATGCCCAGGTCCCCCTGTCTGTGAAGTTCCGCTCAGGCTGTTCTCTCCCCTGGGTGGGACAGAGCGTGGCTAGAGGGCCTCTGGGGAAAACAGATCCCGGCGGCCCACAAAAAGTGGGGGCTGTGCTGATGGGGAGGAGCTGTGGGTAAAGGTGGCGGCCTTTTCCCCCAGTCTGCCTGGGGTCACTCCTCTTCCGGGGGCTGGGGGCGGGAGCCTTACAGCTGGGCCTGTTGGCATCGGCTGCCCGCTCAGCGTCCCCCTCCATGATCAGCGTGGTGCTGTGTGTATCCTCTGTCACCCCAGGAGGGCCACAGCTCTGAAGCAGCCTCATGAAGGGGGTGGGAGAAGGAAAGGGTTGGGCAACCAGCCTGCTGAGGGCGGTGGTGTGTCAGGGGCTTGTCAGCACAAGAACTCACAACAGCTACTCGTCTGGGCACAGAGGAGAAACTGCAGTAAGGGCGTGAGACCAGGAAATCTACAGAACACAATCACCACCCTTTCCACCCAGTTCTGGCCCCCGGCCCTTCAGGGGAGCCAGGATGGAGGAGCAGCAGAGCCCCTTGCAGGACTTCACCCAGCCCTCAGTCTGGGCTCTGGCTCCAGCCTCTGTACCCACTGAGGAGGAGAGCAGGGGCCGGGAGCAGGCCTGTGTGGGTGTCATGGCCCTTGGACCCCTTCCGTCATCAGAGTGGTTTTGGCTCTGGCCTGGGGCTTTGTGACGTGTCTGGGACCCTGAATCCTGAAGCTTCCCTACTCCCGGCTGCTGGTTATGAACATCCAGGCTGTGGGGAGGGGGGTGTTCCAACACCCACAGAGTTTGGGGCACTGGGCTTGGGGCTGCAGGAAAGCTGCCTGAATGTATTTTTTAAGAAACTCCACTTTAGTGGAATAAAGTAAACTTTATTCTCTTCATCTCTCCTACTCATTATTTTGCTGCAGCTGCTCTTTCTCATCCATCTGCTGGTGACCACTCTGGCCAGCCCTTTTGACAGAAGAACTACTTGGCAACAGGAAACCGCGGTGGCCATTTGACTGTGCGACCGGAAGAGGCGCCTTTCCAGCCCCTTCTGGCTGCCCTCCTGCAGCCCGGGGCCGGCGTCAGGAAAGGCCCTCGGCTGCTGGGCCCCGCCTCTTCCCCAGCCGCAGCCACGACCAAGTCAGGGGCCTGCCCAACTTGTCACTCCCGGCATCTGGCGGTGGCAGGGGGGCGGGGGTCCTTACTCTTGAGCTGGCCCATTGGTTTTCAACTTATTCTACCAGTACCGTTTGTACTTGGAGTAGGAGAGGGGGGAGAGGGGGTTGATGCAGCCCTTACAGGAGGCCCCCGGCCTTCTCTCGCGGGGGGGGAGGGTAGGAGGGGGGGCAGGCGGCCGCCACCTATGCGTTCCTGCCCCTCCAGCCACGCCGCGCGGCCCACCCAGTCTCCTCTCTGGATCCCGTTTTAACCCGAGCCCCGGGCGTGAGGGCGGGGCGGGGCCGCCGCCGCTGGCGACCGAGGGCTTCGGGCCGGGGAAGGTCCGGCGCGCCCGCCACGGACCTCGGGAGCCCGCGCGGCGAGGAGAGCGTCGCCGGGACTCCGGCAGGTGGCGCCGGCGAGACGGCCCCGCCCCGGCGCCGCGCTCGGAAATGACCTAAGCGGCCGCGAGGCCCGGCGGGTCGCTCCGGCTCTGCGGCGCGGCGGACGGGGGGCGCGAGCACCATGCCCGCCGAGCGGCCTCCAGGCCCGCGGGCGCGGGGCCGGCCCGGCAGGTGGGTCCCGGCGCTCGCAGGGCACCGCACCGCCTCTCCGGCCCGCGGGACCCGGGACGGCTCCCCTGCCCCGCCCGGAAGGGCATTCGGGCTTGGGGAAGCTGCCCGGTTCTGGAGAGTCCCCGAGGTCGTCCTTTGACCAGGGAGGGGCTCGGCGTCCGGAGAGGGGACTCCAGCAGGGGCTGCCTCTGGGAGACGTGTCATCCGGCTCCCCTCTTCTTTAAGAGGAAGGCTCCAGAATGGAGCTCAGGAATTAGAGGAGTCTGAGTGGGCAAGGCCGGGTTTCTGCCGCTCGGGAGGCCAGTTTAACCAGTCCGTCCCGGGGAGAAGTTGGCCTGGACAGGAGCAGTTCGGCCCCGCACCCGCCCACACAGGCCAGGCCAAAGGTTGGGGGGGGGGGCGGGTTTGGGGACTTAGAAGGACTCTGACTAAAGCCGAGGGAGGGGTCGGGGCCAGGGGATTGGAACCCTGCTGGGACAGACTTCTCCGGAGCCCCCAGCCCTGTCACTCGCCCGAAGTCGTGCTGGGCCAGCAGCTTCCAGGCCGGTTTACATAGGCAGGGCAAGTGTTTGATATGCCCCTGTCCACACCCCCAGTGCAGCTCATCGCACCCCAACCTTAGAATCAATGGAGAATATCCCTGCCTACTATGGAGACTGGACGGTCGGCACGTTCACCTTTACGTCTCTACTCCCGTGTAATCCCAGAAGCTACAAGGGTTCCTAAACTGAGCAGCAGGTGCCTGGCTGGTGCCCAGTCTCCACCAGAAGCCAAGCTTGCTGGGCCCTCAGCCAACCACCCAAGGCAATGGACTGGCTGGGAGCACCTGTCCCGAGCGCTGGCCAGCCCTGGCCGGGGCCTGCAGGACTAGAAACCCTGACCCCACGCTGCACACCTGAGGCCTCTCTCCTTCACCTCTCCTCCTCCCCAGGTGCTGTCATTAGTCCCACCTCAGTAAAGAGCTGCTGGGGCTGAATGGTCATGGGGGATCCTGGTAGAGAGGAGTATAAAATTCAGTCTTTTGATGCAGAGACTCAGCAGCTGCTGAAGACAGCACTCAAAGGTGAGCATGGGAGCCCTCCTGAGCTGCAGAGAAGGGGCCTAGTGGACAGGCCTGGAGGCCTGAGCCTTAGCCAGGGAATGCCCAACCCTGTCCCTTTGCTTTCTGAGAATAAAAGTCAGCAACATCACTCTTGGACTGGAGGACAAGTTACATTTAGGCCAATAATTGAAAGTATGAATCATAGAGTCACCTCTCGGGCAGTAAAGCCATTTTTTAAAGTACCCATGAGAGCGGGGTGGAGCACAGAGAAGGGAATTCTCGTCTCCAGAGCCCTTGCATTGGCCCTGGCTTCTGTATTGCCACAGCAGGTGGTCTTGCATGTGCAGAGAGGGCTGACTTGGGACAGAGGATGGAGCATTCTGCTTGGCAGAGAAGATGCAGTCATTGTCCTGGATCAGTGCCTTCCGCAGCACTCAGAAGTTTGACTCAGCTAACAATTAGTAATGCCCATCACATGCCAAGCTAAGCCTGTTGGGGAGGCCCTGCCTGGCCCGCCTTGTCAGGTGTTCATGTGTGTATATTGTAAGAACACTTTCTTCCGTGAAATTGCTGTCAAATACATCGTTATTCAGTGCTCCTTCCGCAACCTAGTGCCAAGAAACACGTGCCCTAAAAAACTAGCATTCTTTGACTAATCTCTAACGGCCACCTGTCCTGGCCATTAGTCGCCCAGTGGAGCTGCTCTGATGTATGGCTACTTCTGGTTATTTTCTGGTCTTTTAAAACATAAGTGTATCACAGGAGTGCTCTTTTGTAGAAACATCTCAAATCCTTAGAAGCAAGTGGAAACAAATGTGGTAACTCAGCAGCTCTAGACTCCCCAATCTCTACCCTAGATCCAGGTGCCGTGGACTTGGAAAAGGTGGCCAATGTGATTGTGGACCATTCTCTGCAGGACTGTGTGTTCAGCAAAGAAGCAGGACGCATGTGCTATGCCATCATTCAGGTGGGCTGGGACTGGTAGAGAAGCGGGGAGACACTTTGGGAAAGGCCGTGGCAAAGGGCAGGAGGCCTGGCCAGCAGGGCAGAGGTGGAGAGTCAGGACAGGAGGGTCCTCAGCCACCAAAGCTTGAGTGGGGGTCGCCATGGCACCGCCCCCGGCTCACCATCCTTTCCCTGGCTCACAGGCTGAGAGCAAACAAGCAGGCCAGAGTGTCTTCCGACGGGGACTCCTCAACCGGCTGCAGCAGGAGTACCAGGCTCGGGAGCAGCTGCGAGCCCGGTCCCTGCAGGGCTGGGTCTGCTATGTCACCTTTATCTGCAACATCTTTGACTACCTGAGGGTGAGGCCCCGGTAGCCACCCTGGGCGGCAGAGACAGCCTGTCTCCTTCAGCCACTCAGTGCTCTGGCCCCCCGCTGTCCCCCCACAGGTGAACAACATGCCCATGATGGCCCTCGTGAACCCCGTCTACGACTGCCTCTTCCGGCTGGCCCAGCCTGACAGTCTGAGCAAGGAGGAGGAGGTGGGTGACCCCGGTTCAGACAACTGTGGAGGTGGGTGGTCCCTGGCTCAGCTCAGAACACCAGCACGCTGTCCATGAAGAGCATCCGAGAGCATCACTTCCCAGGGCAGGAGCCTGGTGGGGATACTCAAGGCCTGTCTCGGTTCCAGGACAAGCTGCCAGGCTTGGAATTTATTCAGAACGGAGAGCAGCCAAAACCTACAGGCTCAGAGGCTTTCTTCCCAGTAGGAAAGCCAACCTGTGATAGGAACCCAGCTGTGGATACAGATGGCCCAGAAAGAGTCAGGCCGGGTGCAGGAGGGGTAGGAAGGTGAGGTTAAGCGGCAGCTTGGAGACAGGCCCTGCATCCAGCCTGGCCGGCAAGACCTATGGCAAGTCCTGAACTTGTCTCCTTTCACCTAAGATGTGGCGAACACCCACCAGGTGGTGTGAGCGGGTCAGGAGGAAACAAGTGTGTGGGGCCAAGCGAGCTTGCCGCTCGAGCTCCCTGAATGGCTGCTGTGTGCCCCGGGGTCACCCCCAACTGCCCCCTGCAGGTGGACTGCCTGGTGCTGCAGCTGCACCGCGTGGGGGAGCAGCTGGAGAAGATGAACCGGCAGCGCATGGATGAGCTCTTTGTCCTGATCCGGGACGGCTTCCTGCTCCCAAGTGGCCTCAGCTCCCTGGCCCAGCTGCTGCTGCTGGAGATCATCGAATTTCGGGCAGCCGGCTGGAAGACGACCCCGGCTGCCCACAAGTATTACTACAGCGAGGTCTCCGACTAGGCCTCCGGTTCCCGCTGCGTCACCAGCAGCACCAGCCTCTCACCTGCCCCACTCCCTGCCCCTCCCAGAGACCATCCCTTCCAGACCCTCACCAGCTCCTGAGAGGTTTCCCACTTACGCAGTGGTCCTGCCCTGAGCACCTTCCCTCCCGGATTCAGGGACCTCAGGGACCGGGGAAGACACCAAACAGAGCTGCCCACACCATCCCATCGACCTCGCCCCCAGCACCTCCAGCCTGGGCCAGACAGAGAAAGGCAGCCTCTAACACGCAGTGCACTGTGTAACCGCTGGGGCGACAGCCCCATCCTGGGGCCTCGGCTCCCCCGTCCCCATAGCTACTGGTGGGGTACTTTGGGATCTCGAGGGGCACAGCACAGGGCACACCAGAAACTGCTTTTTATACATTTTATACAAGGACCACTTCGGAAACAAACATATTATTTCCAGTCGGCTTTAGTAAATGGCAATACCACCTCACATGCAACACCAGTTCAGGGCGAGAATTTTCTAATAAACCTTTTCCAATATTAAAACTGCTTCCTTTCATATCCTCCCCCAAAGTTCTACCCCGAATTGAGGAAGAGAGGCTGGATGGACCCTAAGCTCCTGGGGGAAATCCAAATTGATATGTTCCCTCTTTAAAGGAGATGGGACAAGAAAAGCAAGTTCTAGCCCCCAAAGAAAGGCCTAACAAGCAATAAACACGTTGCTCCCCCCTTTAAAAGGAACTATTAGCCCACAAGGGTTTTCCACTGTGACAGTGGCTCCCACGATCCGGCAGCAGAGAGCCCCCAGCCTCCCTCTACCACCAGCGGTAGTGAGCCAGGGCACGGTTGGCCTCCGCCATCTTGTGCATGTCATGCTTCTTCTTGATCACAGGGCCCTGGTTGTGAAAAGCCTCCAGCAGCTCATGTGATAACTTCTCCGGCATCAGCATCCGCCGGTGCTTCTTCTCCCGGCACTCAGTGATCATCCACTTCATGGCCAAGAAGCGACGACGCCGGTCGGGAAGTGGCACAGGGACCTGGACGGGACAAGACCCCGGGCAAGTTAGTCCAAGACCTTGTCGGGGCGGCAGCCTCCTCCTGCCCTGAGCTCTAAGGAGTAGCCACAGGTTCCCTGTGGGCCAGCTCTGACAACACTCCTGAGGGGCCTGGCTTCTCTCTGAGGCCCCCTCACCCCTGGGTGCCCTCAGTGTAGCAGACCCAGAGGCATTCATTGAGCAAAAGCTCATTAGGCAGAGACCTCTCTCACCTCTAAATGGAAGCTCAGCCAGGCTGATATGAGCATCAACTGGGAAAAGCCCCATCAAGCTGGGGTGACTTAGCCAACTCAGATCAGGGGTGCCTAAAAACAAGACCCTCTTGTCCACAATCATTTGCTAGACCGCCACTATATGCCAGGTACCTAGGGACACGCCAGACCCTAGGCATACAGACGTTAACAAGTCTCCACCCTTATGAAGCTTACATTAAAAATCAGAAGCCGAGAACACTGGCTTATGGCAATAACACAGAATTAAATGCTGAGCCAGAACCTCGTTCAGTTCAAGAAATGGCAACGAAACACCAGTTATGGGTCAAGTGCTACTCTAGACGCTGGTGTACAAAGATGAGTTATACACAGTCCCTCACCACGAGAAGCTGACAACTTACGACACAACATTGTGGACAGAACCTGCTCCCGATAAAACTATCAATCCTGGCCCAACTCTGGGCCTTCCCACTCCTAAGTGCTCCCCAACCCACCACCACCAGCTTGTTCCATGGGTGGGGAGCCCTACTTTCCGGGCTCACCTGGTAGAAATGGCCGCCTCTGAGAATGGGCATCAGCCCTATCACAGGCTCACAGTTTTTCAGTGCTTGGTGGAAGATGGTGTAGGGGTTGCGCTCGATGGTTGCCTGTTCCTCGGCAGAAGCAGCATGGTACTTCTCAAACTGCTTCCTTTTCACAGCTTCCAGAGTCTGCAAAGGGATACACTGGAAAATGCTGCCCCAGACTCCCTAAAGGGTTTATCCAGCTGAGCTAATACCTTGCCCTTTCCTCCTCTGTCATCCTGTTCTTCTATAACAGTGTGGCCCCTCTCTTGGCACCTCTAAGGCAAAGTTCTTAAATGCCTCCTCTTTCCTGGAGGAGGACCAGGGCAGTAGACGGAGATTTGTGATTGGGGGAGTGCATGGTGGTTGCTGACTCCTGCAGGACTTCATTACAGCCGCCACCTCCACCCATATATACGGGGTCATTTTTTTTTTTTTTCTCCAAAAAATTTTATTTGAGACAGTGCGAGTGAGCATGAGTGGAGGGACAGAGGCAGAGGGAGAAGCAGACTCCCCGCTGAGCAGGGAGCCCAGTGCGGGGCTCAATCCCAGGACCCTGGGATCATGACCTGAGCCGGAGGCTGACACTTGACTGACTGAGCCACCCAGGCGCCCAGGGAAGGTAATTTTTTTTTTTTAAGTAGGCTCCATGCCCAGCGTGGAGCCTGACATGGCGCTTGAATTCATGACCCTGAGACCAAGACCTGGGGTGAGATCAAGAGTTGGACGCTTAACCACCCAGGCACCCCATACAGGGAAGGTAATTCTAATGGCAGGTATATGAAGCTGTTCTTTTTTTAAGCTAAACTGAAAGAGCCACGTACAAAGACGTAAGCAAGGAGACAGGAGAGACGTGTTACCTGCGTCATGAGGGATCTGGCCAGTACTCTGTTTCCTCCTTTCATCATCATGTTGGTGAATTTACTTCAAGGAGAAAAACAAAATGTTTAGATTTCCCAGGCTCTATCACAATCCTTACTGTAGACCCTCCCTGGTACAGTCCCAGTCCATGGAACAAAAGTGTTTGCTTCCATCTAACCTGATCACGGGGTCTTCAAACACAGAGCTTGTTTTCGCTGCTGGGGCAGCTTTGATAAGCTGAGTCTTCCTGAGTTCCTGTTCATACTTCTCCTCCTCAGTCAGCTCGGCCAAGGCCTTGCGGTAATACTCCTTGTCAATCTGTGGATCCCTGTATTCAGGACCATAGCGGCTCCACCTCACCTGGGTTAGCCTGAGAGGAGGGAAGAGGAAGAGGCCGGCAAAAGCTGACTCCACAAGTGAAAAGGCTTGACTTAACAATGGGCCTGTTTGCCAACCCGCCGACGAGTGAGAGCGGCACGGAGACCGCTAGGCAACCCTGAACGCAATAATTCTGGCTCTTGTCCTAAGAGGTGGGTGGGCCTCCCCCAAACAGGCCAGGGAAGTCTCCTCCTCGTCCAGTGCCAACGGTAAGGCGAGGTTCCTGAACCTCAGGATAGGCGCCCCGCCTAAGCATCTCGCCCCCCGCCCCCCGAAAATCCCAGCTCTGAGCTCTTCGGTTAAGACCGCGCTTTCAGCTTCGACTCAGAACCCCATTGGGCTGGGGACAATCGCTAAGCCTTCACACTGGCTCGAAGTCACGCAGCCAATTCAGAGGCTTGGACCGAGGTATCCTGGCCCCCAGGTTCTCTCCGGGTTCCTGCGCGTTCTGCCTATAGCCCTTTCCTTCCCTGCAGGTCTCTCCGTGAAGTCCCAAGCGGCACCCCAGCTTCCTGCCGCCCTCTCACCCTGGAAGCCGCGGGACAGCCCTCCGCAGGCCCAGCGCCAGGACCGACCACCCTCGCGCAGCCTTCACCGCGGGGGCAGCCATGTTGGCTGGCCACAAGGACCCCACGAAGGCTGCCCTCGGCGTGCCTGAGCGAGTGACGGGAGACGGGGGGAAAAGCTCCGCAGGGTCCTAAATCTGTGCGTCACTCCATTAATCCGGGCGTTAAGAGTCTCTCACTCCGAGGTCCAAAGGCAAGAGTCAAAAGGAAACATTCGGCATCTCATTTTCCGCCGCAGCCTGACGCCACCCTCGGCGGCGGCGCTCTCTCTTCTCAGGCCCCCATGCAGGCCCCGCCCCGACTCGTCTCTCACAGGTTCTCGCGAGGGTTGAGGCCGCTGGGCCGGCCCGGGCGGCTGCAATATGGCGGAGGCGGAAGGGGAAAGCCTGGAGTCCTGGCTGAGTGAGTAGCCGCGGCCGCTTCTGTCTGCCCTAGAGCCCCCCTGCGCCCCTCTCCGCCCCACCCCGCCCTCCTCCGCTCCCAGGGGCCCGCGGCGGCGTCGCCTGGCAGCCGCGCCTGGGCTCGCCCTGGCCGCGAGCATTCCGCGATCACGCCCCTTCCCCAGCAGGGCGCCCGGGCTCCTGACCGGCGCCTCCTCCCACTTCTGCGCGCGGCGGCGTGAGCTCGGGTCCGGCCCGGGCTCCGGGGAGGCGGCAGCCAGGTGCTGCCGCCTGGCATGGCATCGGCGATTTGGGGAGATTGCGGTGGGGCCGCGCGCCGCCGTGACTCCGGGACCCCTGGCCTCAGTCTTAGTCGAAGGGAAAAGCTGCGGATTTGGGCTGAAACTCCGGGAGCGGTGGGTGCCGCTGAGCATACACACACAGCTTCAGAATTGCGGCCGTGTATTTGAGAAGTGTGGCCGCCTCGCGCAGGCAGAATGTTTGAAGTGAGAGGAATCCAAAAAGGGATAAAGAGCAGCTCTACCCTTTTCCTGCAGTGCCCAAGCCTCGGTGATGTCCGTGTTGGGGATACACACACTTGAACATCTTAACGAGTCATTCGTAGGTACCATACTCTGAGCAAAGCAGAGGAGCACAGCCTAGTGCTGTAGTTATAGCGGCCTATTGCTCTAATTGCTAATTTATATTGCTATTAAGGAAACACGGGTTAACCTTGTTAGCGCATAGTATTCTGTTGAAAGGTTAATAAGTTAACTTTCCTGTGGGCTTAGAAGAGGCCCCTGGAGGCCTCTAAGTGAAGGCAGAAATTGGACAGAGTGATAAGACAGGATGCCTAGAGAGTGCCTTGTGCAAGATCTCTTATTTACTGGAGCCTCCAGGCTGTTGGAGGTAATGGCTGTTTCCTCCAATGGCCTGACCTTTCTTTTCTTTTCTTTTTTCTTTTTAAGATTTTGTTTATTCATTGGAGGCACAGAGATAGAGAGAGCACGAGCAGGGGGAGAGGCAGAGGGAGAAGCAGGCTCCCTGCTGAGCCAGGAGCCAGACATGGGGCTCGATCCTAGGACCCTGGGATCATGACCCGAGCCGAAGGCAGATGCTTAACCATCTGAGCCACCCAGGTGCCCCTGGCCTGACCTTTCTTAATAAGAAACCCCCTGCAGGTGGTTGAACCTAGGTTACCTTTGCAAAATTTGCAGTTGCAGGCAGGTCACAAAGTCCTCTGTGTGCAGGGAATTGTTCTTCAGGGAGCTCAGAGTACCCCAAAGACATTCATTTAATTCCTTTATCAAGTATCCTAGCGAAGCAGGTACTACTGTCACAATTTCACAAAAAGAGGACACACTGGCTAATCACACCACTTACCCAGAGCCATCCATCCAGATATAACTACGCTGGAATCGATTTGATTCATAGATATTAATGGGGACATTGGAGTAATTCGACCTAAGCTGAGTTTTTAACTGGCTAGGTTTAGAGTTATATTTTGTTTTTGTTTTTTTAAAGATTTTAT